CAAAACAGATAGTCCAAAAATGTATCATAAGGAATAAGGTTTATAAGTGTCTGTCCTATATCTAGAAAATATAAGAAAGCACAGGAACTATTTAATTTAATTTATATATACAGATTTCATTTATACATACAGATATTTAACACCTTGTTTTGGAGGGGCACAAAACTACTTCCATACTTCCATTCATTTTACCTTCAGATGAGTCCCGTGACACTTGTGGGGGTCGTAGAACAAAATGGATACCATTGTGTTCGTGAAAGTCTCATCTTTCCATAGAGTGGTCATATTAGTTTTTAGGCCAAAACATTCAGACGCTACAGACATTTTCGGGAGAAGACTGATTTTCGGGATGTTATCGGGTCTGACAAACAGCACTGTAGCTCTGCCACTTTCCACCGCCGATGCGGAAGGCCGACATAGGCGGATGTGGTGGATTGAGACGCAGCCCATACATGTTTAAGCAGATATGCCTGCGTCCGTAATGGGTCCGCGGTCAAACGACCACCCCTCATCACTGTCAAACGCTCCCTAAAACACTTCAGCGAGCAGGCCTTTCTAATTGACCTGGCCCGGGTATCCTGGATGGATATTGACCTCATTCCGTCAGTAGAGGATGCCTGGTTGTTCTTTAAAAGGGCTTTCCTCTCCATCTTAAATAAGCATGCCCCATTCAAAAAATTCCGAACTAAGAACAGATATAGCCCCTGGTTCACCCCAGACTTGACTGCCCTTGACCAGCACAAAAACATCCTGTGGCGTACTGCATTAGCATCGAACAGCCCTCGCGAAATGCAACTTTTCAGGGAAGTTAGGAACCAATATACACAATCAGTTAGGAAAGCAAAGGCTAGCTTTTTCAAACAGAAATGTGCATCCTGTAGCACTAACTCCAAAACGTTTTTGGACACTGTAAAGTCCATGGAGAATAAGAGCACCTCCTCCCTGCTGCCCACTGCACTGAGGCTAGGAAACACTCACCACCGATAAATCTACGATAATCGAGAATTTCAATAAGCTCTGATCCCTTCTTGATGTCACTTGTTAAATCCACTTAAATAATTGTAGATGAAGGGGAGGATACAGGTTAAATTGATACATGGATTGTGTATGTGTGCCATTCAGAGAATGAATGGGCAAGACAACAAAATATTTAAGTGCCTTTGAACGGGGTACGGTAGTAGGTGCCAGGCACACCGGTTTGAGTGTGTCAAGAACTGCAATGCTGCTGGGTTTTTCACGCTCAACAGTTTCCCGTGTATATCAAGAATGGTCCACCAGCCAAAGGACATCCAGCCAACTTGACACAACTGTGGGAAGCATTGGAGTCAACATGGGCCAGCATCCCTGTGGAACGCTTTCGACACTTTGTAGAGTCCATGCCCCTAAGAATTGAGGCTGTTCTGAGGACAAAAGGGGGTGCAACTCAATATTATGTTTTGATCACACAGTGTATATATATATATATATATATATATATATACTGTAAGTCAATGGTGTGTCTGTGTCAGTGGTGTGTGTGTCTGTTTGTGTGTGTGAGCGCTCGCGCGTGTGCATGTGTGAGCGCTTGCGCGTGTGCATTTGTATGTGTGTGCATTCACATTAGTGTGCTGGTGTGCGTGTACACATGCGTGTGTCAGTGTGTGTGTCCGTGCACATGCTTGTATATGGTTGGGACTGGTGTTGGGGAAGTGCTCACATAATGGCTGTTGAGCGGTGATCTCATTGGTCAGGAATGATTATCCCTGGGCCCATTTAGCCTGTGAAATGGAAGGATTAAGGGGCCTTGCCAGGACGGGTTCTGAATGAAGATTTCAGGGGGACAGACAGATTTCTGTCGGACAGATACTGTTGGAGCGAGGCATTTTCTGGGTGATTTAAATATTGACTGGCTTTCATCAGGCTGCCCACTCAAGAGAAAGCTTCAAACTGTAACTGGTGCCTGCAACCTGGTTCAGGTTATCAGTCAACCTACCAGGGTAGTTACAAACAGCACAGGAAATAAATCATCAACATGTATTGATCACATCTTTACTAATGCTGCAGAAATTTGCTTTAAAGCAGTATCCAACCTCATCAGATGTAGTGATCACAATATAGTAGCCATATCTAGGAAAACCAAAGTTCCAAAGGCTGGGCCTAATATAGTGTATAAGAGGTCATACAATACGTTTTGTAGTGATTCCTATGTTGTTGATGTAAAGAATATTTGTTGGTCCGTGGTGTGTAATGAGGAGCAACAAGACGCTGCACTTGACACATTTATAAAATTGTTTATCCCAGTTACTAATAAGCATGCACGCATTAAGAAAATGACTGAAAAAACAGTTAAATTCCTGTGGATTGATGAGGAATTGAAAAATGGTATGGTTGAGAGGGATGAGGCAAAAGAAATGGCAAATAAGTCTGGCTGCACAACCCATTGGCAAACGTACTGCAAATTGAGAAATCATGTGACTAAACTGAATAAAAAGAAGAAGAAACTACCCTATGAAACAAACATAAATTACATAAAGAATGATAGTAAAAAGCTTTGGAGTACCTTAAATGAAATTTTGGGCAAAAAGGAAAACTCCACTCCATCATTCATTGAATCAGATGGCTCATTCATCACAAAACCCACTGATATTGCCAACTACTTTAATGATTTTTTCTTTGGCAAGATTAGCAAACGCTGACACCACACATTCTTGTACATTTGACCAAATTATGAAAGACAAGCGTTGTCATTTTGAATTCCGTAAAGTAAGTGTGGAAGAGGTGAAAAAATTATTGTTGTCTATCAACAATGACAAGCCAACAACTTGGATGGAAAATTGCCACTCCTATTTGCCATATATATTCAATTTAAGCCTGCTTGAAAGTGTGTGCCCTCAGGCCTGGAGGGAAGCAAAAGTTATTCCCCTACCTACGAATAGTAAAGCGCCTTTACTGGCTCAAATAGCCGACCAATCAGCCTGTTACCAACCCTTAGTACATTTTGTGCAAAGAAAATGTTTGACCAGATACAATGCTATTTTACAGTAAACAAATTGATAACAGACTTTCAGCACGCGTATAGGGAAGGACATTCAACAAGCACAGCACTTACACAAATGACTGATGATTGGCTGAGAGAAATTGATGATAAAAAGATTGTGGGGGCTGTTTAGTTAGACTTCAGTGCGACTTTTGACATTATCGATCATAGTCTGCTGCTGAAAAAACCTACGTGTTATGGCTTTACATCCCCTGCTATATTGTGGATAAAGAGTTACCCGTATAACAGAACACAGAGGGTGTTCTTTAATGGAAGCCTCTCCAACATAATCCAGGTAGAATTAGGAATTCCCCAGGGCAGCTGTCTAGGCCCCTTACTTTTTTCAATCTTTAATAATGACATGTCACTGGATACTGCTTATAGGATACAAAGTATTTTGTTTCATAATGTCAGAAGTGACAGTACTGTACAATGTTCTGAAATACATTACCCACTGTAGTATGTGCTGTGAATAAATTGGCTGAAATGAACATCAGCCTCTGACCATGCTCTTATGTGCAGTGTCGGTGCATTGAGAGGAGTGTGTTTGTGAGACAGAAATGACTAACAAGTAGACCAAATTAGAGATAGCCCCTCCATTCATATATGAACATACTGAGACAAGTGGCTGCTTTTCAGTGGCATAGAAAGAGAGGGCTCTCACATGGAGAGAGAGCAAGGTTTTGAGTAAAGCTAGTGTGTCTATGTATGTGGATGACTCAACACTATCCACGTCAGCTACTACAGCAACTGAAATGACTGCAACACTTAACAAAGAGCTGCAGTTAGTTTCAGAATGGGTGGCAAGGAATAAGTTAGTCCTAAATATTTCAAAAACTAAATGCATTGTATTTTGGGACAAATCATTCACTAAACCCTAAACCTCAACTAAATCTTGTAATGAATAATGTGGAAATTGAGCAAGTTGAGGTGACTAAACTGCTTGGAGTAACCCTGGATTGTAAACTGTCAGTATCAACAAGGCATGTCCTACAGGCCCTAGTTTTGTCGCACCTGGACTACTGTTCAGTCGTGTGGTCAGGTGCCACAAAGAGGGACTTGGGAAAATTGCAATTGGCTCAGAACAGGGCAGCACGGCTGGCCCTTAGATGTACACAGAGAGCTAACATTAATAATATGCATGTCAATCTCTCCAGGCTCAAAGTGGAGGAGTGATTGACTTCATCACTACTTGTATTTGTGAGAGATATTGATATGTTGAAAGCTCTCTGTTTGAACTACTGGCACATAGCTCAGACACCCATGGATACCCCTCAAGACATGTCACCAGAGGTCTCTTCATAGTCCCCAAGTCTAGAACAGACTATGGGAGGCGCACAGTACTACATAGAGCCATGACTACATAGAACTCTATTCCACATCAAGTAACTCATGCAAGCAGTAAAATTTGATTTAAAAACAGAAAAAAATACACCTTATAGAACAGCGGGGACAGTGAAGCCACACAAACATAGGCACAGACACATGCATACAAACACACGCTAACATATGCACAATACACACACGTTCACATGGATTTTGTGTTGTAGATAAGTGGTAGTAGAGTAAGGGCCTGAGGGCACAAACTTAATGTGTTGTGAAATATGTTGTGAATTTATTGTAATGTTTTATTGTAGCTCAGTTGGTAGAGCATGGCGTTTTCAACGCCAGGGTTGTGGGTTCGTTTCCCACGGGGGGCAGTATGAAAATGTATGCACTCACTAACTGTAAGTCGCTCTGGATAAGAGCGTCTGCTAAATGACTCAAATGTAAAATTGCCTTAATTTTACTAGACCCCAGGTCTGCCTTGGCCGCAGCTAATGGGGATCCATAATAAATACAAATACACTCACACACACAGACACACACCATGAGGGTCAGATACATAGTTCAATAGGAGAAAGAGAAACCAAGACATAGACAAGGGACAGATGGAAAGAAGAGAGCAACCAGATGGTTCTAGGTTTACGAAAATGTCAGGTAGAAGAAGAAGAAGAACAAGAAGAACAAGATCAAGAACAAGAACAAGAACACTGAAGAACAGGTAGGTTGGAGGGGTTATGGTGATGTTGTTTCTGTACACATTCTATAATGTTAAATACAAGTCAAGTGTACAAGTTAACCCTAACTTGCTCCAGGGGTTCCGTACTGCTATGGCTGCCCTTACGAAAAAATATTGCAGTCAGAGTGCAGTATAACTGCAGTACACTGTAGTTTAACTGTAGTCAGAGTGCAGTATAACTGCAGTACACTGTAGTTTAACTGTAGTCAGAGTGCAGTATAACTGCAGTACACTGTAGTTTAACTGTAGTTAGAGTGCAGTATAACTGCAGTACACTGTAGTTTAACTGTAGTTAGAAGGCAGTATAACAGCAGTATGCTTCAAATACTGCGTCCAAATAAGTGTTTTTTTTACTGCAGTAATTTTGCAGTGACTGCAGTTACCGTGCAGTATAACTGTAGTTCACAAGTCATTATTCTGCAATTAATGCGTCCAAAATACCACAGTCGACTGCAGTTATTGCACTTTTACTGCAGTTTCAAAACTGCTCTCTTTTTTTGTAAGGGTGACCTTGTAAAACAACACATTTCACTGCACCTATCTGGTATATGTGACAATAAAACACATATTTTTTGTTTAGATATATATGTATATATATATTTTATACTTTTATTGAACAAAGAAAACATAAGATGATGATACAAAAAACTATGCATACAGAACTAGCAAATACTTTTTGATACATTTTCTTCAGTACATGATATGTTTATTTTTTTGACCTTTATTTTGACAGGGAAGTTAACCACATAGAGAGATACAAAATAATGGGAAAAGTGTGAGTGTGTGGCGTGCTATAACAATGTTGTCTGAACCACTTGTCTGATGCTGCTGTATGACACTGCCATGTTGTGGTGCGATATGGTAATGCCACTGAACGTTCTCACAGAAAGGGGTTGTATTCACTAGAAACCAAACGAAAGCAAACGGGGAGGGACTAACCTGACCCTGTCTAATAAGAAACGCTCGTTTTCGTTCCAAAACGTTTTCCGTTGCAAATAGTTTTATTATGGTTTGTACGGTGTGCCCATACGACCCTGTTATGATCACATGGTCAATTATATTAATCTGATTACACAGCGATATGATGACGTTTCATGAAAGGGTTACCGTGTTTCCTTATGCGTAAGTAAACCCCAGTATCCCTTGGTGCTCTTTAATACGTGTTTTGTTGGCCAGAAGACTGAAAACCTTACAACGAGACCAACAATACCAGCGATATAATCAAAGACCTACTGTATCAGCGCGATGCCAGGGAGTAAGTTACAACTTTGGGGAAAAATCAACCAGCCAGCTATCAACTATATGTGATATGTGTCTCATTTCAAGTTGAATGTCAAGGTCTGTTTTTTGTGTGCTCCAGTATGAAAGCTAGCTAGCTAGCTAGCTATATTCTTTACATTTTATAAACGTGTTTTGTGTTTATTGCTCTGTATTTTGACAGTCTTAAGGAGGAATGTAGGCATAATCGTAGCCCAGATCTGCACTATCGTCTAAGCTTGATGTACATTCCCGGTAATACACTCATTCCCCAGTGGACCGACCCCTACATAAAGCATCCTCCATTCAGGCTGCAAATGCATAATTTTCCTCCTTAAAGATGCCCTTTGCAGAAATTGCACAGCCATTTCCTGGTTGCTAAAATTCTAGTTTGCCTAATTTCAGTTTATGTGACAAAACAAGCAAGTATAGAGTAGAGAATCCTTGTACCATGTAAACCTAAGTGAAATATATTTTCCATAACCAAAAACATTGTATTTTCAGCTGTTTGAAGTTGGTGTGCAAAGCCGAAAGGAAAAGAAGCAAAACTAAACTTAAAAACGGCAAGCATAGAAATAGTACACATAGAACAGATCTATCACTACTTAGACTTGGTTTCAATGAGAATGACAGATCTATAACTCACAGTTCTATGTGAATTTTGCCAGGTCACCCAAAAAGTTACATATCGTAGCTTTTAACGGGGAGAAGGTGGAAAAATGTTCCTCTCACTTTCTGAGTTTGTGTATCATCAGGAAGTAGCTAGCATTCCTAGGCATTAGCCACTAGCATCATTGTGAAATTTGTGTTTTACAAAGAAAGTACGCATATTTTCCCCGTTCTTTTCCGCCTTCTCGCATTTCATGTTAGTTCAGGAGGAAAATGATGCCTTTGCTGATGAGTATTTTTGTAATAATAATGTATTATTTATTTGTTTTTGCTCAATCTGATTGGGAGGGCCTGGCTCACCCATGCCTACGCCCCTCGTATACAGTATACACTACAGTATTTAATTTGCATATAACCCTGCCCATTCCCTTCCCTCATATCCTAATTTGTGCCACCCATAAGTGAGAAGCCTACATGCCAAGTATAGACTATATATTATGTTCCTTACAGGTTATAGAAAAGAGCACAAGCTCTGAGTTATCCGTTTAGACCTCAGTCCTACCTACCTACAGGTTATGGGAAATGTGCTCTTTGAGTATTTTGTCGAGTAGGTTTCCTCAAGGAGAAAGACCCCATTGCTATGTCAAAGATAATAAAACAAAAGCACTATCGTAAATACTACAGTAATGTCTGCAAGAACACTACAGTATACTACAGTCTGCAAAAACACTACAATAATTACTATAGTATATACTCAAGTTTTTATACTATACAAGTACTTATACTATAGTAAACTATAAATCCTACAGTATACTACATTCGTGTCCGCAACACTACACTAAATAGTACAGTATTCACTAGTGTTTATGCAGACTTTTGTCCTGTGAATACTACAGTATTTATACCATAGACAGGTTGAACAAAACCGACGCGTGAGCAACTATGGGGCAAACAGACGGGGTTGGCTTAGATTGCCCTTACAAATAAAGATAGCATTTTTGAATGTGCATTAAAAGTGGAGTAACTGTAGTCAACTGTGTTATTTTGGACGCAGTATTTGAAACATACTGCAGTTATACTGCACTCTAACTGCACTCTGACTGCAATGTATATATTGAATATTGAAAATTGAAAACATAAATACATTTGCACAATGAACACTTGTTTTCTCTCAAATACATCGTTACAGTTGTTGGTTAGCGAGCTAGCGAATTTGAGCCATATTAGCATAGATGTGACATCAGTCAAAACACCTCAAAACAAGACATGGTATCAAGAACAAGATAACACCTACGATTCCCCACATGGCAGCTTTCTTGTCAGTGGTCCTCTGTAGCTCAGCTGGTAGAGCACGGCGCTTGTAACCCCAAGGTAGTGGGTTCGATCCCCGGGACCACCCATACACAAAAATTTATGCACGCATGACTGTAAGTCGCTTTGGATAAAAGCGTCTGCTAAATGGCATATTATTATTATTATTATTATTATTATTATTGTCATTGTTGCTAGCTATCTGGCCTTCCAGAATCACAACAATCATGCAGACCTTTGCGCCATTGAAGTGTGCACATTGTTTCCGTGACGTTGTCAGCTAACCCATCTATAGTATACTATAGGATTCTTTCATGCGTGTGCCCTTGTTCTCTGTGGTGGGTGTTTGTGGTAAAGTCTGTGCGTGGAAGCTGGCTGGAGCACAATGCTCTCTCTGCACCACAGCTGACAATTGACCCATCATGGAGGTGACGGTAGCGTTTGTGAAGTCAGCATTGAATCCAAATAACAGTGCCCTTGTTAGAACTTGTGGTAGAGAATGTCACAGGAGGAATTCTGGATGATTAGGGTGAACTTCCCAAGCGGAATTCATAAGAGCCAGGGTCATTATCATTACTACTGATTATCTGGGAGTATAATATAATGTTTCTTTCACAATGTCTTCGAGATCCTTCTAGCTCCTTCTGTAAAACAATCCAATAGCCTACATCTCAGGTTTCACCTACTGCCATTGTGCCCTTGAGTAAGGCACTTAACCTTACTCAAGGGAGGGGGGAGGGTAAAAATAACAGATCTCTGTTTCACAATGGACAAAGAAAGTTGTATGGTTTTGTATTTCATTGTACATATTTGTTTGTGTGTTACTCCAGGCTGAGCTACCGCAGTTGAGTGAGGAGGATGCGTAACCGACAGAGGGGGAGGTCAGCTGGGCCTAATCCTCCTGGCCTCCCAGGTCTTCCAGGTGGGGGTGGATAACGTTCCCTCTGTGACGCTGGCTGTGCTGGGCCTCAACGTCTACCTCTTCTTGTGCTGGGCCTCAACGTCTACCTCTAGGTGTGCAAGCCTACTGGCGTGGGGACTGTCGCCGCTGCACCACCTAGACGACTGGCACCTGTACTTCAACATGGCATCCTTCCTGTGAAAGGGCGTCAAGCTGGAGCCCCGGTTGGGCAGCAGCTTCTATGCCTGCCTGCTGGCTGTTTTCTCCCTGCTGACGGGCATGATTTATCTGCTGCGGGAGATAGGGCTCTCGGCGATCACCCAGGACCACTCTTACAGTATACAGTGTGCAGTCGGCTTCTCAGGTACTAGCTAGCTACAGTGTCAGTGTGTTTGTTGTTATGCTGCTGAGGAAGGTTTCTGTCCATCCTCACAATAGTTTGGGCCATGGGATTTTTTGGACCAGGAAAACCCCAAGGTCATAGTTATAGACCTAGCCTAAAAGTGAATGGGCCTCTGTTGGTCAGTAAAAAGTTGGGGTCAACTCTGTTTTTCAACTCTGTGAATTTGCTTCCTGAATTGAAAACTGAATTGACCCCAAACATGCTGTGCTGTGATTGGCATGGTGAGACTGAGCTGTCTGTCCTGTGTTGTAGGAGTGCTTTTCGTCTGAAAATGCTGAGTAACCACTACCACCCAGGAGGCGTCTCCTACGTGATGGGCGTCCTAGTGGCCAATCGCTACGCCAGCTGGGTCGAGCTGGTGCTGATTCACGTAACGTCACCAGGGTGAGTTCTCCTTTGTCGCAGGAGTAGTCAGACACACAGACTTTTCTCCCAGTCCAGCTCTCACACGTTTCCAATAAGAGATGCTCATTTTAGTTTTTAAATTTTTTACCGTTGTGTGCCCAAATGAACACGGCCCAGGGTTCATCGTAAGTTCACTAGACAGTCTCTTATTATCCACGATAGAGGGCTCTGTCAAATAGTTCTAAATGAAATGTTTATACAAAACATATAATGCTCTATGTAGGGGAGAGTGGGGTAAGTTGAGCCAAAGAGGTAAGTTGAGACACCCTTGTTTCTAGGAAACCATACACAAAATCGATATTTTTACTAAATATTTAGGAAGAGGTCATCATTTCATGGAGTCTGTGAAGGAAGAAACCACATGGAAAAAGTGGTAAGCAAGTTAGGTCCAAAAAATGTATTTTCACCAAGTCAAATAAATGTATTGTGTTAGAGGTTTCATGATTCTTGTATCTAAACCAAAGTAGATCATTTTAAGATTGTTCAATACATCAGTTGGGGTCTGTATAAGCTTCAATATGAGGTCCTAAACCTAGCATGAAAGTGCATCCTTGTAGCTGTGTGAGCTAATATAGTTAAAATGTTTGCCTTGGGGTAAATTGAGCCAATGGCTATTGTGTAAGTTGGGCTAATGGCAAGTTAAGCACATTTAAGTGTTTTCTTCCAAGGTGTAATGCAAGGCATTATCACTGAAATATGAGGTAAGCCTGTGTTAAAATACGCTTTAAATTATTAAAAGACCAAAAAGTGTTGAATTGTGTTTGGAAAATACAGCGGCAATATTTCATTCAGTACAGAAATGTGTAGGCGGCTTAATTTACCTTGTTCCGCGGCTCAACTTACCCCATACCCAGTAAGTTGTGCCAAGAGAACACTTTTTTTGGACAAGCTATGTTTTCAAAACTGTAATGTTTACATTAATTCCGATTATATATTAGGATACGCAACAGCTTGAAATATATGTAGATATCTTTGTTAGAAAGAATACTATATTTCCCTTGGCGGAGTGATGCTGAATGTAATAAATTGTCAACTTACCCCACTCTCCCCTAGGAGAGTGCACAACCTCACTAGCGGGTCTGTAATGCCTGATAAGTGTCTGTTTATGCAGTGTCCGTCATGTGAGAAGTGTGTGTATGGTAGTGTAATAACAGTGCTCATCTTGACAGAACAGATCTTGTTTCCCTAAAGTAGTTTGCTGTGCATATGTTTAATTACGGAGTCGTGTGTGTGTGTTGTAGCCAGGTGGTAACACGCTCCTCTGTGCAGGACCTCCTTTGTGGGACACCTGGCAGGCATCCTGGTGGGGTTTCTCTACACCGCTGGTCCTCTGAAGATCATCATGAAAAAAATAGCAGGTTTGTGTGTGTGTGTCTGTGGGCAACATTTTCCTCACGCTAAAACATGCGCAACGAGCTCAAAAACCTGTGCAATGACGAGTTTGGCATTTTTGTGTCACCTGTATTTGTGTCTGCACGGATCCTGTAAAACTTTGGAACTGTGTAGGTGGAGCATAAAATGGGAGTGTCAAGGAGAGGTATGGAAGAGAGTATGCTTATTAGCATTTCCACATACAATATATACTACTTTGCATGACTTTAACGAGAGGCTAAGAGACAAGATTAAAATGGGGACAATTATCAGTGACAATCCATAATATAATCAGCCTATGAACGAGGATGTTGTTGCTTATAGGCCAACTTTGATATTTCCCTAAAATACTACACACTACATGACCAAATGTATGTGGACACCTGCTCGTCGAACATCTCATTGCAAAATCATGGGCATTAATATGGAGTTGGTCCCACCCCTTTGCTGCTATAACAGCCTCCACTCTTCTGCGAAGGCTTTCCACTAGATGTTGGAACATTGCTGTGGGGACTTGCTTCCATTCAGCCACAAGAGCATTAGTGAGGTCGAGCACTGATGTTGGGTGATTAGGCCTGGTAGGCATTCCAATTAATCCCAAAGGTGTTCGATGGGGTTGAGGTCAGGGTTCTGTGCAGGCCAGTCAAGTTCTTCCACACCGATATCGACCTTGCTTTGTACGGACCTTGCTTTGTGCACATGCTGAAACAGGAAAGGGCCTTCCCCAAACTGTTACCACATAGTTGGAAGCACAGAATCGTCTAGAATGTCATTGTATGCTGTAGCGTTAAGATTCCCCTTCACTGGAACTAAGGGTCCTAGCCCAATCCATGAAAAACAGCCCCAGGCCATTATTCCTCCTCCACCAAACTTTACAGTTGGCACTATGCATTTGGGCAGGTAGCGTTCTCCCGGCATCCGCCAAACCCAGATTTGTTTGTCGGACTGCCTGATGGTGAAGCGTGATTCATCGCTCCAGAGAACGTGTTTCCAGTGGTGGTCCAATGGTCCACCACTCAAGCCGACGCTTGGCATTGCGCATGGTGATCTTAGGCTTGTGTGCGGCTGCTCGGCCATGGAAACCAATATCATGAAGCTCCCGACTAACAGTGATTGTGCTGACGTTGCTTCCAGAGGCAGTTTGGAACTCGGTAGTGAGTGTTGCAACCGAGGACAGACGATTTTTACGCGCTTCAGCACTCGACGGTCCCGTTCTGTGGCTTGTGTGGCCTACCACTTTGCGGCTGAGCCGTTGTTGCTCCTAGATGTTTCCACTTCACAATAACAGTACTTACAGTTGACCAGGGCAGCTATAGCAGGGCAGAAATTTGACGAACTGACTTGTTGGAAAGGTGGCATCCTATGACGGTGCCACGTTGAAAGTCACTGAGCTCTTTAGTAAAGCCATTCTACTGCCAGTGTTTGTCTATGGAGATTGCATGACAGTGTGCTTGATTTTATACACCTGGCAGCAACGGGTGTGGCTGAAATAGCCAAATCCACTAATTTGAAGGGGTGCATTCTTTTGTGCATTCGGAAAGTATTCAGACCCCTTGACTTTTTCCACATTTTGTTACGTTACAGCCTTATTCTAAAATTGATTAAATTGTTTTTCTCCCTCATGATTCTACATACATTACCCCATAATGACCAAGAAAAAAACAGTTTTTAGAAATTTTAGCAAATGTATTAAAAATCAATTACTGATATCACATTTAAATAAGTATTCAGACCCTTTACTGAGTACTTTGTTGAACCAGAGATTGATGAGAAAAAAACATGTTTTAATCCATTTTAGAAGAAGGCTGTAACGTAACAAAATTTGGAAAAAGGGAAGAGGTCAGAAGAGTTTTCTGTTTGTTCTTATGTCCCTTAGGGGGCTCCGCTCAGAGGACAAACCTCATATGGTTTCAACATCCCAGGAGAACTGACAGCAGAGGAGATCAGGAGGTGGCGGCTCCAGAGGATTGACCACTTTGACTGACCACTGACTGACCAAGCTGGACCACTGGTTCATTGGAGGATAAAAATATCTCTTTCCTCAAGGAATACCACACTGAAAAACAATCGTATTTTGTCCATCAGTCCACTGTTAAAGGTAGAATCTGTGAAATGACGTTGCACGAGCAGTACTGCAGATATTGCGATGAGCAAGATGCAAGACTACGCTCTCACTCAGTCACATACAGTATCTGCGCACATGCACTGGTTCGCTTAACGCTCTTAGAACGTGGTAGCCACGGGACCAAAACAGCAGAGAAGTTTAGACTCGCGCTCCAACGCTCTTAGTTGTTGGGGAAATGTACCCACTATGCTGTTTACTTTGTGCATCTATGTCAGATCGCTGACTGTACCTTTAATACACTGTACATTTTTTATTCAGTTGAGCAAAAGTTTTCCTTGATGCATAATAATTTTCTCTCAACGGAAAGGACTTTATCTTGAAAACTGGACTGCTGACATGCAACAAAATGTGATTGTATTAACAGTGGACAAATTGACAAAATACTAAAAGATCGTTTCTGAGTGTATTTTCATTTGTCATTTTATAAATATAAATATTAAATATATAATATTTAAAAACGTATAAATATTATGTAGCGAAAACAGCCAAATATATCCAAATCGGATTTTAGTAACCACGCCTGGTAGAACACATAAATTATGACAGATTTGACAAATATTCACTTTGTAGTGTCTGCTTTATTGAATGGGCGCCAATGCTATCTAACCTCACGGTTGGCGTGCCATTGATCTCTTACCGTATGTATTGGGCTACTATTTTATTCTTTTCAACTATCAATTATGATTTTAAGACCTGTAGTACTTGAACGTAATAATAGGATTACCAAATATACTGAATTTGTCTCTTGGCAAATATGAAACAGGAATTATATCATTTTATACAATCTTTTAGAACATTTATATTAAATATATATTGTGTTATAAACACTGCATTTTCCCCCTTAGTTCAGTACATTAAAGACTACACTTGATCTACTATGAAGCTAATAATACTCCAGTAACCATTTACAATTACCTAAACACTGGCGATCACACACACATCACTTGGCGGCTTCCACCCGGTTACGTAACCCTGCACCTTAGAGGCTGCTGCCCCATATACAGTGCCTTGCAAAAGTATTCATCCCCCTTGGTGTTTTTCCTATTTTGTTGCATTACAACATGTAATTTAAATTGATTTTTATTTGGATTTAATTTAATGGACATACACAAAACATTGGTGAAGTGAAATGAAAAATAAACTTGTTTATAAAAATTCAACAAAATAAATAACGGAAAAGTGGTGCGTGCATATGTATTCACCCCCTTTGCTATGAAGCCCCTAAATAAGATCTGGTGCAACCAATTACCTTCAGAAGTCACATAATTAGTTAAATAAAGTCCACCTATGTGCAATTAAGTGTCACATGATCTGTCACATGATCTCAGTATATATACACCTGTTCTGAAAGTCCCTAGAGTCTGCAACAACACTAAGCAAGGGGCACCACAAAGCAAGCGGCACCATGAAGACCAAGGAACTCTCCAAACAGGTCAGGGACAAAGTTGTGGAGAAGTACAGATCAGGGTTGGGTTATAAAAAAACATCCCACAGAGCACCATTAAATCCATTATTAAAAAATGGAAAGAATATGGCACCACAACAAACCTGCCAAGAGAGGGCCGCCCTCCAAAACTCACGGACCAGGCAAGGAGGGCATTAATCAGAGAGGCAACAAAGAGACCAAAGATAACCCTGAAGGAGCTGCAAAGCTCCACAGCGGAGATTGGAGTATCTGTCCATAGGACCACTTTAAGCCGTACACTCCACAGAGCTGGGCTTTACGGAAGAGTGGCCAGAAAAAAGCCATTGCTTAAAGAAAAAAAATAAGCAAACACGTTTGGTGTTCGCCAAAAGGCATGTGGGAGACTCCCCAAACATATGGAAGAAGGTACTCTGGTCAGATGAGACTAAAATTGAGCTTTTTGGCCATCAATGAAAACGCTATGTCTGGCGCAAACCCAACACCTCTCATCACCCCGAGAACACCATCCCCACAGTGAAGCATGGTGGTGGCAGCATCATGCTGTGGGGATGTTTTTCATCGGCAGGGACTGGGAAACTAGTCAGAATTGAAGGAATGATGGATGGCGCTAAATACAGGGAAATTCTTTAGGGAAACCTGTTTCTGCCTTCCAAAGATTTGAGATTGGGACGGAGGATCACCTTCCAGCAGCACAATGACCCTAAGCATACTGCTAGAGCAACACTCGAGTGGTTTAAGGGGAAACATTTACATGTCTTGGAATGGCCTAGTCAAAGCCCAGACCTCAATCCAATTGAGAATCTGTGGTATGACTTAAAGATTGCTGTACACCAGCGGAACCCATCCAACTTGAAGGAGCTGGAACAGTTTTGCCTTGAAGAATGGGAAAAAATCCCAGTGGCTAGATGTGCCACGCTTATAGAGACATACCCCAAGAGACTTGCAGCTGTAATTGCTGTAAAAGGTGGCTCTACAAAGTCTTGACTTTGGGGGGGTGAATAGTTATGCACACTCAAGTTTTCAGTTTTTTGTCTTATTTCTTGATTGTTTCACAAGACAAAAAATGTTGCATCTTCAAAGTGGTAGGCATGTTGTGTAAATCAAATGCTACAAACCCCCAAAAAATCTATTTTAAGTCCAGGTTGTAAGGCAACAAAATAGGAAAAATGCCAAGGGGGGTGAATACTTTCGCAAGCCACTTGAAATCACTGGCCTTTTTAATAATGGAACACTAGTCACTCTAATAATGTTTACATATTTTTGCTTTACTCATCTCATATATGTATATACTGTATTCTATTCTACTGTATTTTAGTCTATGCCACTCCGACATTGCTCGTCCTAATATTTCAAATTTTTATTTATTCCTTAATTCCATTATTTTATTTTTAGGTTGTGTGTATTATGTGTATTGTTGTGAATTGTTAGATATTACTGCACTGTTGGAGCTGGAAACACAAGCATTTCACTACACCCGCAATAACATCTGCTAAACATGTGTATGTGACAAATAACATTGGATTTGATTTGAGATGACACTTGGAAATTAGATGCATTTATTTAACCTTGAAACAGTCCACATACGATGCTTTTAAGACTACGGTTTGCTTAGAGGGATTGTAAGTGAAAGGGTTATCCTATAAGGATCAAGTGAGCTGACAGAAATCATACCACATGGTTTAAGAAGAGGATTGTCTTGGAGGGGTCTCAGCTTCTGTGTGTTTGTGTACATGTTTTCCTACCTGTGCTTGTGTGCACGCTTGTGTGCACGTTTTTGACAGTGATTTTGAAGAGTCCCATGCTTAACCTTTGATATGCCTCTAACGTTAAGGGAGTAACCACACGTTGAGAGAGAGGAGGGAGAGGGGTTTGAAGAAGAACGCTCCCTCCCTTTTCAGAACCAAAGTCAGTCAGTCAATCAGTAAACAACTCAGAGCCGCTTCGGACAGACTGGTCATATACTGTCAACTGTTTTCCCATCTGCACATTTACACCCGCAGCGCTCCCATTGGCACAGAGGAGGGCCTCAGTGGGCCTCAGTGATGTGAAATGTTCCGAATGTTGCAGATAGAAATAGAATGAATGGAGCTGAAACGACTCCCTATTCTATCTGACAGACAATCACTTTTCTGTGAACGCTCTGTGATGTTACATCCTCCTGAGTCTGTGGCTTCCACAGTGAAGTTCTCTCTAGTCCAACAGTACAAAAGCTGTGGTGGATTCTCTCAGCCCTGTTTATATGGGGCCTTTAACAATAGTTATGTTCTGTTGCCCTCTGAAAGCAATCCTGTTCTTTCGACAGTGCAAACATATTTACATACAACAGAAAATAATGCCAAGACGTACAGGGAAACATTTAAAGACTGTTACAAATTTCAGTCTTACACACTGTTATACACATGAATATGAAGTGTACTGAATACTGAGTGTTTGTCTGTGTGTGCTAGTAAGGCTTAATTACTTGTGTTAGTTTGGGTAGTGTGTTGAAGTCAAGACTCAAGAGGCTGAATGTTCAGATATGACGTAGGAGATCGGTGTAAGGAATCTTGCAGTGTGCAAGAAAAGAAAAGCGCTCTTAAAACGGGTGAAGATATATTAACGACTGGCGCCATTACCTCGACAACCTAACCCTTAAGTTATTTTACAGAATTCTTCATAAAGACCAAGTAAAAGATCCGGATGCCTTGTAAGGATCCGACGGCGAGCGAGTAAACTGCCTCTTCCATCAATCCTATTAGCCAACGTTCAATCTTTTGAGAATAAAATGGACGATTTAAGATTACGGTTATCCTACCAACGGGACATTAAAAACTGTAATATCTTATGTTTCACGGAGTCGTGGCTGAACGACAACAATGATAACATTCAGCTAGCAGGCTATACGCTACATCGGCAGGACAGAACGGCTGACTCCGGTAAGACAAGGGGTGGCGGTCTGTGTATATTTGTAAACAACAGCTGGTGCACAAAATCAAATACTAAGGAAGTCTCTAGGTTTTGCTCGCCTGAGGTAGAGTATCTTATGATAAGCTGTAGACCACACTATTTACCAAGAGAGTTTTCATCTATATTTTTCATAGCTGTCTATTTAACACCACAAACCAATGCTGGCATTAAGATTGCACTGAATGAGTTGTACAAGGCCATTAATCAACAGGAAAACGCTCATCCAGATGCAGCGCTCCTAGTGGCCGGGGACTTTAATGCAGGGAAACTTAAATCCGTTCTACCTAATTTCTACCAGCATGTGAAATGTGCAACCAGAGGGGAAAAACCTCTAGACCACCTTTACTCCACACACAGAGACGCATACAAAGCTCTCCCTCGCCCTCCATTTGGCAAATCTGACCATAACTCTATCCTCCTGATTCCTGCTTATAAGCAAAAACTGAAGAAGGAAGCACCAGTGATTCGGTTAATAGAAAAGTGGTCAGATGACGCAGATGCTAAGCTACAGGACTGTTTTGCTAGCACAGACTGGAACATGTTCCGGGATTCTTCAGACAGCATTGAGGAGTACACCACATCAGTCACTGGCTTCATCAATAAGTGCATCGATGATGTCGTCCCCACAGTGACCGTACGTACATACCCCAACCAGAAGCCATGGATTACAGGAAACATCCGCACTGAGCTAAAGGGTAGAGCTGCCGCTTTCAAGGAACGGGACTCTAACCCGGACGCTTATAAGAAATCCCGCTATGCCCTCCGACGAACCATCAAACAGGCAAAAAGTCAATACAGGGCTAAGATTGAATCATACTACACTGGCTCTGACGCTCTACAAGGGGAAGCACAGCCGCAAGCTGCCCAGTGACACAAGCCTACCAGACGAGCTAAACCACTTCTATGCTCGCTTCGAGGCAAGCAACACTGAAGCATGCATGAGAGCACCAGCTGTTCCGGATTACTATGTGATCACGCTCTCCGTAGCCGATGTGAGTAAGACTTTTAAGCAGGTCAACATTCACAAGGCCGCAGGGCCAGACGGATTACCAGGACGTGTACTCCGAGCATGTGCTGACCAACTGGCAAGTGTCTTCACTGACATTTTCAACATGTCCCTGACTGAGTCTGTAATACCAACATGTTTCAAGCAGACCACCATAGTCCCCGTGCCCAAGAACTCTAAGATAACCTGCCTAAATGACTACCGACCCGTAGCACTGACGTCTGTAGCCATGAAGTGCTTTGAAAGACTGGTCATGGCTCACATCAACAGCATAATCCCAGAAACCCTAGACCCACTCCAATTTGCATACCGCCCCAACAGATCCACAGATGATGCAATCTCTATCGCACTCCACACTGCCCTTTCCCACCTGGACAAGAGGAACACCTACGTGAGAATGCTATTCATTGACTACAGCTCAGCATTCAACACCATAGTGCCCTCTAAGCTCATCACTAAGCTAAGGATCCTGGGACTAAACACCTCCCTCTGCAACTGGATCCTGGACTTCCTGATGGGCCGCCCCCAGGTGGTAAGGGTAGGTAACAACACATCTGCCACACTGATCCTCAACACGGGGGCCCCTCAGGGGTGCGTGCTCAGTCCCCTCCTGTACTCTCTGTTCACCCATGACTGCATGGCCAAGCACGACTCCAACACCATCATTAAGTTTGCCGACGACACAACAGTGGTAGGCCTGATCACCGACAACGATGAGACAGCCTATAGGGAGGAGGTCAGAGATCTGGCCGTGTGGTGCCAGGACAACAACCTCTCCCTCAACGGGACCAAGACAAAGGAGATGATTGTGGACTACAGGAAAAAAAAGAGGACTGAGCACGCCCCCATTCTCATCGACGGGGCTGTAGTGGAACAGGTTGAGAGCTTCAAGTTTCTTGGTGTCCACATCACCAACGAACTATCATGGTCCAAACACACCAAGACAGTCGTGAAGAGGGCACGACAAAGCCTATTCCCCCTCAGGAGACTAAAAAGATTTGGCATGGGTCCTCAGATCCTCAAAAAATTCTACAGCTGCACCATCGAGAGCATCCTGACTGGTTGCATCACCGCCTGGTATGGCAACTGCTTGGCCTCCGACTGCAAGGCACTACAGAGGGTAGTGCGTACGGCCCAGTACATCACTGGGGCAAAGCTTCCTGCCATCCAGGACCTCTATACCAGGCGGTGTCAGAGGAAGGCCCTCAAAATTGTCAAAGACTCCAGCCACCCTAGTCATAGACTGTTCTCTCTGCTACCGCACGACAAGCGGTACCGGAGTGCCAAGTCTAGGTCCTAAAAGACTTCTCAACAGCTTCTACCCCCAAGCCATAAGACTCCTGAACAGCTAATCATGGCTACCCGGACTATTTGCACTGCCCCCCCACCCCATCCTTTTTACGCTGCTGCTACTCTGTTAAGTATTTATGCATAGTCACTTTAACTCTACCCACATGTACATATTACCTCAACTACCTCAACTAGCCGGTGCCCCCGCACATTGACTCTGCAACGGTACCCCCCTGTATATAAAGCCTCCCTACTGTCACTTTATTTTACTTCTGCTCTTTTTTTCTCAACACTTTTTTTGTTGTTGTTTTATTCTTACTTTTTTTGTTTAAAATAAATGCACTGTTGGTTAAGGGCTGTAAGTAAGCATTTCACTGTAATGTCTGCACCTGTTGTATTCGGCGCATGTGACCAATAACATTTGATTTGATTTGATTTGAAAAGGAAGCCCAATTAAATGACGAGGAGGCCCGATAATGAGAGAAATGTGTACCATCTAAACTAAAGCATGGTTCAACAAGCTATACAGTTTAGAGATAAAGTAAATACTATACTGCTTTTAGGTATACCCTTTAAGGTATATACCCTTTAAGGTATTAATGGGTATTCAGGTATGGGAGAATGAGTCAGCTAAGTGAGTGAATTGCATGCTTGTGGTGAACTACAGACAGCAATAAACCATCTATCTAGCTAACAACAAACTGCGGTAGGGGGTGGTACAGACAGGTGAGTGACAGGCACTTATAATAAAGATGGACAATAATAAGGTTCAGTGGTAATGGACAGTCTTGCTGGACCTATAGTAGTGTGTGCTGTCTACCAAGGGAAAGAGAGGGGGGGGTGTAGAGAGGGTGGGGGTGATAACTGACATATTGTAGTCTATAGCCTTCAAAGAAGGTGGAATTGTGCTAGTGTTTCAGATCATGTGGACATGATACCAAGGTACTATAAAATATCAAATACGACATTAAGATAATGATACATTTAGAAGATAAAATATACACTAAAATCACATTGTACCTTAATGTCTGCTTAAGAATCTATATAAAAGGACATACAACCATCTATCAACACTGTCAAAATGACAAAATTACCAATAGACACATAGCCTACTGCAAGTAACAAACAAAAGCACCAGTGGCAGATCTGTGTCAAACAGTATATCTGTATGGGATTCTTCAAGTGTTCCTCCTCATTTCTCCTTCAAGTGGATCAAACATGGGGTTGTAACAAAGTTTACACATTACGCTTTGGTGAACAGTGCGCAGACCTTTTTGGCTCGAATACATTATTTTGATGGGGTCTGTTAAAAAAGCAGTTTAACAGGTAGTCAATATAACTAATTTGGTTGTCATTATTTTTGCATGTTACATCCTTACGTTGGCTAGATTCTATCAGATCAGCGCAAGCGGACACCTGCATAGCTATCGTTTTGGTGGTGTCGGTGGTGAAATAGAGTTAGAGCGGCTCCTTGCACCACCCAAATGTATAATCTGACAAAACACATGCAGCCGCGTTATAAATTCATGCAGCATGTAGCCTCCCGAGTGGCGCAGTGGTCTGTGCTAGCTGTGCCACTAGAGATCCTGGTTTGAATCCAGGCTCTGTCGTAGCCGGCCGCGACCGGGAGACCCATGGGGCGGCGCACAATTGGTCCAGCGTCGTCCAGGGTATGGAAGGGAATGGCCGGCAGGGATGTAGCTCAGTTGGTAGAGCATGGCGGTTCGATTCCCACGGGGGGCCAGTATAAAAAAAATTATATATATATATATAATAATAAATAAAATAAATTGATGCACTCACTAACTGTAAGTCGCTCTGGATAAGAGCGTCTGCTAAATTACGTAAATGTAATGATGTACTATTGTCAACATCTCGATTAGATCGAGAGGTTAATTCCCCCGATCCAAATTAACATGAAAACATGCATTAGCTTACACCTTCGCCATTTTGAACTTCTAATGCGGCAGGGATAATAAGGAAATGATTGGGTTGTAACACACACAACAGCAGCCGCTCACCTATTTGTCTGCACATACTGCAGTTACACCTCCAACACCGGCAAAACAACCTCTGTGGATATCTACCAACGTGGGTTAACGCTTGAACTGATTGAATCAAGGCCTAACTGAGTCGTGTTCATTAGGCACCAAACAGAAGAAAACGGAACAGGAAGAGACTACATGGACTTCTCCAATCAAAAATGCTTATTTTTGCTTTCTACTTTAAAACATTTTCTGTTGCTTGCGCTAACAAACACAACTGTGGCTTTGGTGGGTGCCAAGAAAATGTCATAGGCTTTGGGATGGTCCCAGCTTCCAAGAGTGTGAGGACCACTGTTGTACGTAAAAACATAGTAACAATTGCAGTGTCTGTATGCATTGTGATTGCTGCAAAATTAATTGCCTCATTGAGGACAGTTTTTTGAATCTGAGTGTCTGATGAGCCACATTGATGCTTGAAGCCACTCTGTTGTTGACTTGGGAGTCTTGAGCAAAAGATAATCTGCCACGTAATATTAGGTACTGAAGCCTGGAAACATAATACACAAATTAAGTAATTCAGCTGAAAAAAATCCAAAGGATAGTTGATCAAGTATGTTCATTAGATGAACTTGCATAAAACAAGTTAAATATTAATATTGTTCACAGACATTCAGGTAAACAACCAGTGTAGTCACAGCCTCTCTGGTGATCAATGGGGTGTGTCATTACTGCCTCTCAGGTAACCAATGAGTGTGCATTTTCAATGCAGTTCTCATTGGGATGCGGTGGGTCAGAGATTTTGGCGCCGGTGCTCGTGGGATGTGGCCGGGCCCAGAAGAAAGGTGGGCGGTGTCACTCCTTCATACACACGTTGCACCAGCCTACGTTGAGCCACTGTTGCCACTCCTCTTTGAGCGTGCCCTGTGACGTTGAGGGGCTAAGCGATCCATCGGCGCCCACCCTGGTCAACCAGAAGCTGTAGATGTTGGTGAAGTAGTGGCGTGCCCTGGCATTCCACGAACGGCTGGGCACGGAAGTCCCTCAGGCAGCTTCCTGATGATGTCAGAGACTGGCCACCACCCTCATCACCGGCCCCTGTGTGCTACAATACACACACACACATGTTACAACTGTTACAACAAAACACACACACAAACACGCATGCACACACATACACACAGACATGCAGAGACACACGCAAACACACAAACACACACACACCTAAACTCACTCACCACCCACAGACTCCTCCAGTTGGGGGAGACAGAAGGGGTTGCTGTTTTCCTGGCTGTGAACTGCCACAGCAGGGGAGGGGGCCTTCATACACCACGCTGCGGCTGATGTGCTGTTGGATGTCCTGGCCCGCCACAGGCATCATGGGCACTGTCGCTGTGGTGGACAGCCATTAGGACTTGTCATTGCGGCTGGCGTAGTCACACATGCCCATGTTACAGTAGGAGTAAGGCATGGTGCTGAAGAGACGCATACATGACCCGGCCTGACCTAGTAAGATGAAAAGACATGCTAGGTTACCGGTTACAATCGTTCACACACAAACACACACAATATTGTAGACCAACGTACCGAGGTCCAGTGTGTGGGCTTTCTCTTGGCCCTCCAGGTACAGCAGACTGTCCACAGTTGTGTCGTGTCTGCTGGACAGGAAGGGAGCGTGTCTGATTGGCTGTGCATCACAAACAGAAAGCCAGAGTTAAAGGTGGTGGTGAGGCCTGGGCTGCCGGCATCTCCCGATGGGCCTGGGGCTCCTACAATGACAGACAGTCAGAGACAAAGAGAAAAAGCAGGCAGGGACAGTCAGAAAACATGGATATATGAGAGATATTTAGCTACCCTTAATGGGAGCATTATAGTGAATAATTGTTTTGCTTTTGTAAAGGAATGTGATTCAATCAATCAATTGAATGAATTTACAAACAATGAAGTAAAACAGCCGTAACCCGCGTTAACTGACAAACGCATAGCTTATCATTGCTTTTGTTTAGGTGCTATAGGAGGTGTAACTGCTGTCAAATCGGTGAGCAGAGCTTCTCTTGTGGTCATTGTCACGAAACCACACGTCCATATATCCCACCCACGTTAAAAGTTCAGAGCGAGAAAGTGTAGGCTATATAAAAATAATTACACTCAAATTGAAAATTGAGGCGTCACTACAGATCCGGGTTCGATCTCGGGCTGTGTCGCAGCTGGCCGCGACCGGGAGACCCATGAGGCGACGCACAATTGGCCCAGTGTCGTCCCGGGTTAGGGGAGGGTTTGGCCGGCCGGGATGTCCTTGTCCCATCGCGCTCTAGCGACTCCTGTGGCGGGCAGGGCACATGCATACTGACACGGTCGCCTGTTGTACGGTGTTTCCTCCGACACATTGGTGCGACTGGCTACCGGGTTAAGCGAGCAGTGTGTCAAGAAGCAGTGCGGCTTGGCAGGGTCGGGTTTACGGAGGAAACATGGCTCTCGACCTTCGCGTCTCCCGAGTCTGTATGGGAGTTGCAGCGATGGGACAAGACTGTAACTACCAATTGGATATCACGAAATTGGGGAGAAAAAGTGGTAAAATAAATACACAAAAAAATACAAAATACAAAAAGAACACTGAATTGAAATGCCATTCATGGGAGGGTTGCTAGGAGGGAGCCTCTGCTGTAAAAAAAGAACCAAACTGCCCGTCTTAACTTTGCCAGAGACCACCTGGACAAACCTGAGGGTTTCTGGAAGTCCATTCTCTGGACCGATGAGTCCAAATCTGTATATGCATATTCGTCTCAGTTTCAGCACCAATTGGTTAAACAAATACTCTTGATGTAGATTATTTCGGATGAATCTACCTACTTCATAAAAAACAGGTTTGGAGAGCCTTTACGCACAAAATACACTGAACAAAAATATAAACGCAACATGTAAAGTGCTGGTCCCATGTTTCATGAGCTGAAATAAAAGATCCCAAAAATGTTCCATACGAACAAAAAGCTTATTTCTCTAAAATGTTCTGCACAAATTTGTTTACATCCCTGTTGGTGAGCATTTTATCCTTTGTCAAGATAATCCATCCACCTGACAGGTGTGGCATATCAAGAAGCTGATTCAACAGCATGATCTTTACACAGATGCACCTTGTGCAGGGGACAATAAAAGGCCACTCTAAAATGTGCCATTTTGTCACACAACACAATGCCACAGATATCTCAAATTTTGAGGAAGCATGCAAATTGCATGCTAACTGCAGGAATGTCCACCAGAGTTGTTTATAGAGTGTCTGATTATTGGTTTAGTGTCACCCTAATGTTATTCACTGCGCTTTCAACCATTTTAAAGCATTGCAAAATTAAAATGGGAATACAATGTCAGATGTTTTGTTTAGCTATTTATACAACAGATTCATATTATCACTGTGCTTCATCTAATAGCACAACCAAATTACCTGGATTGCATTTGAGATTACATTAAAAGTACATGGTGCAAGTGATCAATGCCGTTCGAGATTCTGCACAGATTATTACAGCAATTGTGAAGATCTCCACAGACCTGCGACGACCTATGCATGCTATCTTGAACATGCACGCTTTATATGATTACTTAAGAAGAAATGTAAAGTTACAGTAACCCCAAAATGTGGCCATGGATGTGTTACTAATTTTAAGGTTGTATGTTACATTAGTTTGTAAGATAGCCTTAATTTTAGGCTGTTTACTGTATTACAAAATAATGTGAATTGTGTTTGGTTGACAATGCAACCAAATATCAACATTTGAAGGAGATTTATCTTCTGCTTGGATACTTCCATCTGTGCCACTGACTAAGTCAAATCAAACTTTAAATGCACTTTAAATACAATGTGATTTGATTTAGTCCTATACTTTAACTTACATTTTTGGTTGAGATGGAGACGTGAATTCAACATATCGATTATTCATTTGTAGACAAACTGGAATTAAAGTCAGACTAAGTCAGTGGCACAGATGGAACAATCCAAGCAGAAGATACATCTCCCTCAAATGTTGATATTTGGTTGCGTTGACAACCAAACACATATTCAATATCACTGCCACTGACTGGGTGATCTCGCTTTACGAAGCCAACGTAAGGTTTTAATTTGGTCAACACTCATAAGGCCGCGACGCCGGACAGTATTCCATGGCGCGTTCTCAGAGCATGCGCAGAACAGCATGAATGAGGTTTGTGCAGTAGGCCAAATACATCATCACAGCATATTGGCTACATGCCTGGCCTGCCAATATTGTTCTTCTTAGACCATATTATATTTCCAAACTCGAACTTTGATTACAAAATAGATCAGATGGTGTAGCACTTGCGAGGCACAGCTGAGCATAAATTGAAATATTTTGCTAATAATTTGCTATTTTTTTACTGGACTGATGGTACCTGTATCTGATGGTCATGGTGCTTTCAAGACAACTGGGAACTCGGAAAGAAACAAGGTCAAATCATGACGTCAGTGATCTTCAGGTTGGAAAGTCGGAGGTCTAGAAAGATGCCAGAGTCAGATCTAGTTTTTTTCTGAGTTCCCAGTTGTCTTGAACGCACTGAAGTCGGCGATTTCCAAGTTCCCAGTTGTTGTGAACACGGCATTAGTGTCAGCAGAGGGAGGGAGGGAGAGAGCAGCAGAAGGTCCGCCTCTCACTGTCCTCTGCTCTCTGCTTCCTTCCCTCCAGTGAGGCTGACCAGAGAGAGGGGACACAGTCTTCTACCTGATGGCGAAACTCGAGTCGCACCACATCTGCCCTATGCACAAATTCATGTTGTTCCTATGACCAGAGAAAGTGAAATATTCCTTAATATTAAAACAGACACAACGAGCTGCTAATAATAATAAAAACGCAGGGTTATCGATACACTTGGCTACTCATTCATTGCAGCTGCAGCGCGAGTGGAATTAGGGAGAAGCCCGTTTTATGTTTTGTAATAGTGTTGAATAAAAACAGTGTTGACAGTGCTGAATAAAAAATATAACATGAACTCACTCATAAAACAGCAGCTCTTCGCTGTATTCATTGACAGTGTCTGTGGTCATGGTTAAAAAAATTATTAAATCTTATGTAGGCTAGTATCAACCGTTGCTGTGGCCGTGGTCGTGGAAGCTCTGTAGGCATGGTGATTTGAGCTATCTGATTGGCCAGCACAGTAGGCGCACTCGAGTTAGCCACAGATCTCCAATCACCACCTGGGGTTTGTCTTTTCAGACAAATGAAATGGTTCAAAATGGGAACACTTTGCTTACCCGGTGCGCAGGGCTTCTGAATTAAGTGCACCTACCGCCAACAGCGAAACCCCCCCAAAAGGAATGCCTTGAAGATCGACCAGTCAATCTCCTTTTTTTTCTTTCTTTTTAAAAAATATTTTCTTCAGAAACGTTTGGTGATCGACTAAGAATGCCTTGAAGATCACAATCGACCGGTTGGTAAGCATTTCCCTATACCCACTCCAATTTGCATACCGCCCCAACAGATCTATAGATGATGCAATCTCAATTTCACCCCACACTGCCCTCACCCACCAAGATAAGAGGAATACCTATGTGAAAATCAGAGGAGGTTGGTGGGAGGAGCTATAGGAGAACGGGCTCATTGTAATGACTAGAATGGAATTAATGGAACGGAGTCAAACATGTGGTTGATACCGTTCCATTTATTCCATTCCTGCCATTACAATGAACCCATCCTCCTATAGCTCCTCCCACCAGCCTACTCTGGTGAGAATGCTTTTCATTGACTACAGCTCAGCGTTCAACACCATAGTCCCCTCCAAGCTCGTCACCAAGCTTGGGATCCTGGGACTGAACACCTCCCTCTGCAACTGGATCCTGGACTTCCTGACGGGCCGACCCCAGGTGGTGAGGGTAGGCAACATCACCTCTTCCATGCTGACCCTCAACACAGAGGCCCCACAGGGGTGTGTGTTTAGTGCCCTCCTGTAGTCCTTGTTCACCCACAACGAATGGCGCCAACGGAGATGGCGGCATCGCGACTAGCTCTTAGGAAACGTTGAGGGTATTTTGTTTTTTATGTATTATCTTTTACATTATTAGCTCAGGAAATGTTTTGTGTCATTACATACAGCCAGGAAGAACTATTGGATATCAGAGCGGAGGTAACTCACCAGAACTACCAGCATTATGACCAGGAATACGACTTCCCCGAAAATATCGTTTGTTCGCTCTCCCCAGAGCAATTCAACTGATTCCAGAGGCCGACCCAAAACATCGCCGGCGGAGGAGAGGCACTCGAGGTGGCCTGCTGGTTCGACTTAGGAGGCGCGCACACCACCCACCGCTTCCGAGTATATTACTCGCTAATGTTCAGTCTTTGGATAACAAAGTTGATGAGCTCAGGGCAAGGATTTATTTCCAGAGAGACATCAGGGCCTGTAACATACTTTGTTTCACGGAAACGTGGCTCTCTCTGGATACTCTGTCGAAATCAGTCCAGCCAGAGGGATTCTCAGTTCATCGCGCAGACAGGAATAAATATCTCTCCAGGAAGCAGAAGGGCGGAGGTGTGTGTTTCATGATTAACGAATCATGGTGTAATTGTAGTAACATTCAGGAACTCAAGTCCTTTTGTTCACCCGACATAGAACACCTCACAATCAAATGCCGACCGTATTATCTCCCAAGATAATTTTCCTCCGTTATAGTCACGGCCGTTTATATCCCCCCACAAGCCGATACCAACGACGGCCCTCAAAGAACGTCACTGGACTTTATGCAAACTGGAAACCACATATCCTGAGGCTGCATTTATTGTAGCTGGGGATTTTAACAAAGCAAATTTGAGGACTAGGCTACTGAAGTTCTATCAACATATCGACTATAGTACTCACGCTGCTAAAATACTTGACCACTGTTATTCAAACTTCCGGGAAGCTTACAAGGCCCTCCTCCGCCCTCCTTTCGGCAAATCTGACCATGACTCCATTTTGTTTCTCCCTTCCTATAGGCAGAAACTCAAACAGGAAGTACCCGTGCTAAGGACTATCCAACGCTGGTCTGACCAATCGGAATCCACGCTTCAGGATTGTTTTGATCACGCGGACTGGGATCTGTTCCGGGTAGCTTGCGAAAATAATTTTGCCGAATACACTGATACGGTAACTGAGTTTATCATGAAGTGTATAGGAGATGTCGTACCCACTGTGACTATTAAAACCTACCCTAACCAGAAACCGTGGATAGATGGCAGCCACGTCGCCGAGACCGACGTCTTGCTTCCGGAGAAGCTAAACACCTTCTTTGCCCTCTTTGTGCCACCGACGTGGCCCACTACCAAGCACTGTGGGCTCTCTTTCTCCGTGACCGATGTGAGTAAAACATTTAAATGTGTTAACCCTCGCAAGGCTGCCTTCCCAGAAGGCATCCCTAGCCGCGTCCTCAGAGCATGCGCAGACCAGCTGGCTGGTGTGTTTACGGGCATATTCAATCTCTCCCTATCCCAGTCTGCTGTCCCCACATGCTTCAAGATGGCCACCATTGTTCCTGTACACAAGAAAGCAAAGGTAACTGAACTAAACGACTATCGCCCCGTAGCCAGTGGTGTAAAGTACTGAAGTAAAAATACTTTAAAGTACTACTTAAGTAGTTTTTTGGTGTATCTGTACTTTATTTTTGACAACTTTTACTTTTACTTCACTACATTCCTAAAGAAAATATTGTACTTTTTACTCCATATATTTTCCCTGACAACCCAAAGTACTCGTTACATTTTGAATGCTTAGCAGGACAAGAAAATTGTGTAATTCACGCACTTATCAAGAGAACATCCCTGGTCATCCCTATTGCCTCTGATCTGGTGGACTCACTAAACACAAATGCATCTTTTGTAAATATTGTCTGAGTGTTGAAGTGTGCCCCTGGCTATCCATACATTTTAAAAACAAGAAAAGGGTGCCGTCTGGTTTGCATAATATAAATAATTTGAAATTACTTATACTTTTACTTGTACTTTTGATACTTAAGTATATTTTAGCAATTGCATTTACTTTTGATACTTAAGTATATTTTAAACCAAATACTTTTAGACTTTTACTCAAGTAGTATTTTACTGGGTGACTTTCACTTTTACTTGAGTAACTTTCTATTAAAGGTATCTATACTTTTACTCAAGTATGACAATTGGGTACGTTTTCCACCACTGCCCGTAGCACTCACCTCTGTCATCATGAAGTGCTTTGAGAGACTAGTCAAGGATCATATCACCTCTACCTTACCTGCCACCCTAGACCCACTTCAATTTGCTTACCGCCCCAATAGAGCCACAGACGATGCAATCGCCATCACTCTGCACACTGCCCTATCCCATCTGGACAAGAGGAATATCTATGTAAGAATGCTGTTTATTGACTATAGCTCAGCATTCAACACCATAGTACCCTCCAAGCTCATCATTAAGCTCAAGGCCCTGGGTCTGAACTCCGCCCTGTGCAACTGGGTCCTGGACTTCCTGACGGGCCGCCCCCAGGTGGTGAAGGTAGGAAACAACACCTCCACTTCACTGATCCTCAACACTGGGGCCCCACAAGGGTGCGTGCTCAGCCCACTCCTGTACTCCCTGTTCACCCATGACTGCGTGGCAAAGCACACCTCCAACTCAATCATTAAGTTTGCAGACGACACAACAGTAGTAGGCTTGATTACCAACAATGAAGAGACAGCCTACAGGGAGGAGGTGAGGGCTCTGGGAGTGTGGTGCCAGGAAAATAACCTCTCACTCAACGTCAACAAAACAAAGGAGGTGATCGTGGACTTCAGGAAACAGCACAGGGTGCACCCCCCTATCCACATCGACGGGACCGTAGTGGAGATAACACGCACGCACACACACTCACATACAATCATCATATACGCTGCTGTTACACTGTTTATCATATATCCTGATGCCTAGTCACCATGCCACTATACATATCTAACCCTACCACTCCAATATCCCTGCACATTGTAAATATGGTATTGGCACTGACCCTGGAACTGACCTTGTCCTGTATATAGCTTACTTACTTCGTGTTCTCTTATTTCTGTTCCTTGTATGTCTTTGTTCTACTTGACTTTTATATTTATTAGTTATAGGACTACTGATAGTGATTACTGCATTGTTGGGAAAGAGCAAGAAAGGCATTTCACTGTACTTGTGCACGTGACAATAAAAACTTGAAACTTATATATAATTCAATTTGAAATCAACAAAAGCTTGAAAAGTTAGGCCTATTGTATTGTCTATTTTTAGTTGAATTGTGGGTTGAGCTGAAACAATAGCTGTTGCAAATACAATTTAGCTCTAAATAGCATCATTGATGATATATCAGTGATAAAGTATGGTCACATTTCATTTGCTCTGTTAAACATTTGACATTTTAGTCATTTAGCAGACGCTCTTATCCAGAGCGACTAACAGTTAGTGAGTGCATACATGGGCAGGGCAGGGCCGGGGTACCCAATGTCACCTGGTGAACCTGAAACAACATCACACACACAACTAAAGTGTGAGTAACTTTAAGTGACTGTTTTGGAATTTTTTTACAGCAACATAATAAAATACTAATAAAAAATACAGTTTGCAACATTTTCCACTCGCAATGACACTTGTGAGCAAACTAACCATTTGTTTTAAATAGACGGGAGCTTCTACTGAACCTTGCAATTGCCCTGCATCTTATCATTTATTTTACTCATCCCATCTTTGTGAAATGTTATGGTTAATTTTCGCACATCGCGTGTCATTGCAAGAGGAAAATGTTGCCCTCTATGTCCCAACATCCAAACATGCATACTACTTAGCTATAATGAAGCAATGCGTTCTAAATAGTCTGCTATATTTACAAAATAAGGCCCAAGAGGGTGTGGTATATGGACCATTACCATGGCTAAGTGCTGTTCTTAGGCAGGCCTGGATACAGCCTGGATACAGCCTGGATACAGCCTGGAGTGACTGGATACAGCCTGGATACAGCCTGGATACAGCCTGGAGTGCCTGGATACAGCCTGGATACAGCCTGGAGTGCCTGGATACAGCCTGGAGTGCCTGGATACAGCCTGGATACAGCCTGGAGTGCCTAGATACAGCCTGGAGTGCCTGGATACAGCCTGGATACAGCCTGGATACACCCTGGAGTGCCTAGATACAGCCTGGAGTGCCTGGATACAGCCTGGATACAGCCTGGAGTGCCTGGATACAGCCTGGATACAGCCTGGATACAGCCTGGAGTGCCTGGATACAGCCTGGAGTGCCTGAATACAGCCTGGATACAGCCTGGAGTGCCTGGATACAGCCTGGAGGTCCATGGATACAGCCTGGATACAGCCTGGAGTGCCTGGATACAGCCTGGAGTGCCTGGATACAGCCTGGATACAGCCTGGATACAGCCGGAGTGCCTGGATACAGACTGGATACAGCCTGGAGTGCCTGGATACAGCCTGGAGTGCCTGGATACAGCCTGGATACAGCCTGGAGTGCCTGGATACAGCCTGGATACAGCCTGGATACAGCCTGAAGATCCTGGATACAGTCTGGAGTGCCTGGATACAGCCTGGAGTGCCTGGATACAGCCTGGAGTGACTGGATACAGCCTGGAGTGCCTTAGGTGCCTGGATACAGCCTGGATACAGCCTGGATACATTCTGGAGTGCCTGGATACAGCCTGGAGTGCCTGGATACAGCCTGGATACAGCCTGGAGTGCCTGGATAAAGCCTGGAGTGCCTGGATACAGCCTGGAGTGCCTGGATACAGTCTGGATACAGCCGGAGTGCCTGGATACAGCCTGGAGGTGCCTGGATACAGCACTGGGATACAGCCTGATACAGCCGGGATACAGCCTGGATACAGCCTGGAGTTCCTGGATACAGCCATGGATACAGCCGGAGTGCCTGGGATACAGCCTGGATATAGCCTGGAGTGCCTGGATACTGCCTGGATACAGCCTGGATACAGCCTGGAGTGCCTGGATAAAGCCTGGAGTGCCTGGATACAGCCTGGATACAGCCTGGAGTGCCTGGATACAGCCTGGATACAGCCTGGAGTGCCTGGATACAGCCTGGAGTGCCTGGATACAGCCTGGATACAGCCTGGAGTGCCTGGATACAGCCTGGATACAGCCTGGAGTGCCTGGATACAGCCTGGAGTGCCTGGATACAGCCTGGATACAGCCTGGATACAGCCTGGATACACCCTGGAGTGCCTGGATACAGCCTGGATACAGCCTGGATACAGCCTGGAGTGCCTGGATACAGCCTGGAGTGCCTGGATACAGCCTGGATACAGCCTGGATACAGCCTGGAGTGCCTGGATACAGCCTGGATACAGCCTGGAGTGCCTGGATACAGCCTGGAGTGCCTGGATACAGCCTGGAGTGCCTGGATACAGCCTGGATACAGCCTGGATACAGCCTGGATACAGCCTGGAGTGCCTGGATACAGCCTGGATTACATTTACATTTACATTTTAGTCATTTAGCAGACGCTCTTATCCAGAGCGACTTACAGGAGCAATTAGGGTTAAGTGCCTTGCTCAAGGGCACATTTACGTCATTTAGCAGACGCTCTTATCCAGAGAGACTCACAAATTGGTGCATTCACCCTATAGCCAGTGGGATAACCACTTTACTATTTATTTATTTTTTGGGGGGGGGGGGGGGGGGGGGGGGGGGGGGGGGGTAGAAGGATTACTTTATCCTATCCCAGGTATTCCTTAAAGAGGTGGGGTTTCAAATGTATCCGGAAGGTGGTGAGTGACTCCGCTGTCCTGGCGTCGTGAGGGAGCTTGTTCCACCATTGGGGTGCCAGAGCAGCGAACAGTTTTGACTGGGCTGAGCGGGAACTATGCTTCCGCAGAGGAAGGGGAGCCAGCAGGCCAGAGGTGGATGAACGCAATGCCCTCGTTTGGGTGTAGGGACTGATCAGAGCCCGAAGGTACAGAGGTGCCGTTCCCCTCACTGCTCCATAGGCAAGCACCATGGTCTTGTAACGGATGCGAGCTTCAACTGGAAGCCAGTGGAGTGTGCGGAGGAGGGGGGTGACGTGAGAGAACTTGGGAAGGTTGAACACCAGACGGGCTGCGGCGTTCTGGATGAGTTGTAGGGGTTTAATGGCACAGGCAGGGAGGCCAGCCAACAGCGAGTTGCAGTAATCCAGGCGGGAGATGACAAGTGCCTGGATTAGGACCTGTGCCGCTTCCTGTGTAAGGCAGGGTCGTACTCTCCGAATGTTGTAGAGCATGAACCTGCAGGAGCGGGTCACCGCCTTGATGTTAGCGGAGAACGACAGGGTGTTGTCCAGGGTCACGCCAAGGCTCTTCGCACTCTGGGAGGAGGACACAACGGAGTTGTCAACCGTGATGGCGAGATCATGGAACGGGCAGTCCTTCCCCGGGAGGAAGAGCAGCTCCGTCTTGCCAGGGTTCAGCTTGAGGTGTTGATCCGTCATCCATACTGATATGTCTGCCAGACATGCAGAGATGCGATTCGCCACCTGGTTATCAGAAGGGGGAAAGGAGAAGAATTAGTTGTGTATCGTCAGCGTAGCAATGATAGGAGAGGCCATGTGAGGATATGACAGAGCCAAGTGACTTGGTGTATAGGGAGAAAAGGAGAGGGCCTAGAACTGAGCCCTGGGGGACACCAGTGGTGAGAGCACGTGGTGCCGAGACAGCTTCTCGCCACGCCACTTGGTAGGAGCGACCGGTCAGGTAGGACGCAATCCAGGAGTGGGCCGCGCCGGAGATGCCCAGCTCGGAGAGGGTGGAGAGGAGGGTCGGTACAGCCCTTGAGTGCCCGGATAAAACCTGGGGCCGGATCGCCCGGATACAGCAGGAGTGCCGGATACAGCCTGGGTACAGCCCGGAGTGCCTGGGTAAGCCTGGATACGCCCGGGGCCTGGATACAGTCGGGGGCCCGGATACAGCCGGGGTGCCTGATACACCGGATACCCCTGGGGGTTTTCCGGGAACCGTTTCCGGGTTTTGGGTGGCCTGGATCCAAAACCCGGGGCCCGGAACATCCCTGCCGGGTGCCTGATAACCGGTTTCCTGGGATCACCTTGAAAAAGGGGCCGGGGGGTTTTCAACCGGGTGCCCCAATCCTGGCCCGGGCCTGGGGGGGGGCATCCTGGGGGCCCCCCGATACGCCTGGGGGCCTTGATACCCTGGATCTGGATCACCTTGGGGTGGAAAGCCTGGGGTTGGGGCCTGATCACCTGATGCCCGGAAATTTTGGATGCCGGAAAAGGGGCCTGGGGGCCCCGGGAAAACCGGACATTCCTGGATAAACCGGGTTCCTGGAAAAAGCCGGATGCCCCAAACTTAACACCTGGATTTTGCCTGATCCCTTAACCCGGAAACCCGGTCACCCGGATGCCTGGAAACGCTGGGGCCTGGATACGCCTGGATTCCTGGAAAAACCGGGTCCCCGGGTAGGCCTGGAGGCCTGAAACCCTGGGCCCCTGGATCACCTGGGTCCCGGGGGCCCCCCCTGGATACAGCCGGATCCTTTACGTGGGTGGGAACCCCCCTCCCGGGTACCGTCCCCCCCCAAAAACCCCGGGTTTCCTGGAAAAAGGTGTGGAGGGGTTTTTATACGCCGGAGTGCGAACACCGGGGGGTTTAAGTAAGCCTATACCCTGGGGGCCTTTAAAGCGGATTTCTGGATCAGCCCCGGGGTGCCGTAAACCCCCCTTGATCCCGGTTCCTAAAACACCTGTTGGGGGGCCGGAAAAAACCTGGAATTCAGCCCGGGGTGAAAGGGGGCCTACGCCTGGGTACCTGAGGGCCGGATCCCTGGGGGGGGCCCGGATGCCCCTCCCGGGTCCCGGAACCCGGGGGCCCGGATACCCGGAAAAACCCCTGGGTGCCGATACAGCTGGATCCCCGGAAACCGGCCCTAGTGCCGGTTTGGGGAAAAGCCCCGGGCCTTTGGGGGTGGGTGCCTTATTCTGGTCACCTGGGAAACCCCAAAAAACTGGAACCCGGAAAATGCTGGAACAGCCTATCCTGGACCCGCCCGGAAACCCCAAGCCGGAACAGCCTGGAAATGGGGTCCCCGGGGGCCGGAAAGCCTGGGGGCGTGGATAACCTGGGGCCCCGGTACACCCCCGATACGCCGGGTGGCCCGTACAGCCTGGAGTGCCTGGATAACAGCCTGGCCCCCGGGGTGCCTGGATCCGGATCAGCCGGGGGGTTTGCCAATCCCCCTACAAACCGATCAGCCTGGCCCCCCCGGGCCTGGAAACCCCCCGGCGCCAACCAAAGCCCCCGGATAACCCGGGGCCGGGTACCCCCCTGGATCCCGGCCAGCCTTTTTTCCTGGAACACGGGGTCCCCCGGGGGGTTTGTAGGGGCGCCCGTAAAGGGGGGGGCCTGGAACGCCTGGGTAAGGGGGTTACCCCCGGTGGGGGGATACAGCCCTGATCCATTTCCCAACCCTGGGGGGCCCCCCCAGGGGGAAAGCCTGGAGGGGCCGGGGTAGGTTGGGGGTGGTCCCGGGGTTTTTCCTTAAAAGCCCCTGGATCCCGGGCTTTGGAAGGGCCCGGGTTTCCCCTGGGGGTGCCCGATACCCCTGATCGCCTGGAGGGGTGGAAAAATGGGGGTAAACCGGAGGTGGGAAAAAAGGATT